GAATGCATTCAGTGACAATAAGCTGAATATGAGCCAGCAGTGTGCCCTTGTTGCAAAGAAGGCTAACGGCATTCTGGGCTGCATTAGTAGGAGTGTTGCCAGCAGATTGATGGTAGTGATTATTCCCCTCTGTTCAGCACTGAGGCCACATCTGGAGTACTGTTTCCAGTTTTGGGCCCCCCACTACAGACAGGATGTAGACATATTGGAAAGAATACAGCAGAAGACAATGAAAATGATTAGGGGTCTAGGGCACATGCTTTATGAGGACAGGCTAAGAGAACTGGGCTTATTTAGTCTGCAGAAGAGAAGACTGAGAGGGGATTTAATAGGAGCTTTCAACTACCTGAAGAGTGGTTCCAAAGAGGATGGAGCTAAACTGTTCTCAGTGGTAGGAGATGACAGAACAAGAAGAAATGGTCTCAAGTTGGTGCAAGGGGAATTTAGGTTAGATTTTAAGAAAAACTTTCTCACTAGGAAGGTAGTAAAACACTGGAATAGGTTACCCAGAGAGGCTGTGGACTCTCTAGCCTTACAGATTTTTAAGACCAGGCTAGAAAAACCTTTGTCTGGAATGATCTAGTTGAAGATGATCCTGCTTTGAACAGAGGGTTGGACTAGATGACCTCCTGATGTTCCTTCCAGCCCTGATTTTCTATGATTCTATCACTTTCCTCAGAAGAAGTAGCATAACTTGAGCAAGTTCTTTCAATGCCACTTCTACTTCCCTGGTGCCCCCCTACACTCCTCACCTACACTCAAACTATCTATTATCTTAGACAGATAACTCATGTGCTGTTTCTTTGTCTTATAGACCCAAACTGAATCCCAGCCATCAACCCAGAAAACCTCTGACTGTTTGCAGCAGGGTCCAGAAAAGGAAGAAGAAGGGGACAAAGGAGGACTGGTTAATGGAGATGTACAGGGACAATAGCAGGAAGCATGGCCACTGTTTTGTGCTTCAGAGAGAGATGTTAGAGCAAGAATATGGATTTGATACTGAAGCTGAGAGAATGCTGGTGGTAGGGGACTTAGTCACTACATACTTCTTCCATGAATGTGCAATATGAAAGCAAGGCCCCCACCAATCTGAGGTGAACCAGCAGCAAATATCCATATTTGCCTTTTTGGTATCAGTTAGTAGCTGGCAGAACCCAGTACTGCCTCAGGGTCAAGCCCAGACTTGCCCTGCAGCTGTGAATTCTCATCCATGATGCCATGAGCTGCTGCCAACAACCTCTGGGAAGCCCCACTTCAAGTTTGGCGTCATTACTTTATCTCAACGTAGTAGAATGTTGACAAGAGCCTTGACCGTGCAAAGTTCTCATACACATGACATGGCACTGCACCACTAGTGTGCATCACTCCCTATGCCAGAAGTGGACTGCTACTGGCTTTCACTGTTTAAAGCAGAAAGATAGTTTTCACTGTTGAGCTGCTTAATTCTTAAAACAGCTGCTCTGAAAATATTTTTCATTGGTGCACAGTAGAAAGATTAAATCAGCTGACAGTGATTAGTTGCTGTTGCACAATTAAATGCATAAAGCTGTCATATTGTATTCTTAGATTTTAATAAATTCATTCCCTTTGTTTCCATGAGTGCTATGTGTCTGCTTGAGGGGAAGGGGTTGATACACAATTTTATTTCAGCATCACTACCTCAATACATTTACATACAGAGAAAGATTTCCTGAATAAGGACAGTGATTAAGGACACACCAGCCAGCCTGCCCTTCCAGCCTAGGCAGCAGGGCTGAACGAAGCTTTGGTCCCTGATTCAATTTGGCGGAGATTTGGCCCGATTCTCCAAATCTGAATCAAATCAGAGGACCCTTTAATCTCTCTGAATTGAATCAGAACCCTCCAAATTGATTCGGAGAGATTCAGAGATTCGGACATCGAGACAGCTTTAAATGTTTGTTCTACATACCTCTAGATAGCAAGGGCTCATGAATGCTGAGATGCTGGGGCTCATGGAACATCCCACAGGAGCATGGGGTGGACTGGAAGCACTTCCGGGTGGACCAGAAGCTGCTGTCCACTCGGCAGCAGCCCCAGAAGTGGACCAGAAGCACTTCCAGTCCATTTTCAGGTCTGCTGTGGGGCCCCCACTCCCTCCCAGCTTGGTGACTGGTGCCTCCTGGGTCTGGGGGAGCACCTGGGGGTCCCCCTGTGGCCCATCGCTGAGCCAGTGAGGCACAGGGGGGGCCCCACAGCATGCTCCCCAGCAGACCCAGAAGTGGACTGGAAGTACTTCCAGTCCACTTCCAGGTTCACTGCTGAGCACATGGAGAGCCCCCCACACTCCTGTGGGACACTTCATGCACCCCAGCATCGCAGCAATCACAAGCCACGCCTGCTACCTCAAGGTATATAGAAAAAACTTTTAAAGATGTGTCTATGTCCGAATTGCTGATTCTGTGAATCAGCATCGAATCTTCAGATTCGGATTTGGCTGAATTAAATCAGGAACAGTGTTCCGAATCAACGAATCAAATCGCTGTCCCTAATCCAGGCCGAATCCGAATTGAATAGGGCCCGCTTCACACACCCGTACTAGGCAGAAGGTCCAAGAGTTAAGCGGGAGCAAGGTTGAGCCTCTGGAACCTGGGCATTTGGCTTCTTACCAGCCACCTTTTCTACTCCAAGTGAGGGAGAAAGACTAGAAGCTAGGTGGAAAAGACTATGGATCCCAGTCACTGTTCAGAGAGAGAACTCAGTGCTGCCACTGGAATGCAGACATGGAACACAAGCAGAGGTGGTCCATTGTAATGAATCATCAAACACCACTATAACCAATGAGATCTGGAGGGGCAAAAAGTTGTCCCAGAACTTCCAAAAAAGTTTGGAAGGAAAGGTACAGAAAAATGTCCAGAAGGCAAGTCACTCCGGTTGGTTGTGTGTGTGTGTGTGTGTGTGTGTGTGTGTGTGTGTGTGTGTGTGTGTGTGTGTGTGTGTGTGTGTGTGTGTGTGTGTGTGTGTGTGTGTGTGTGTGTGTGTGTGTGTGTGTGTGTGTGTGTGTGTGTGTGTGTGTGTGCGCCTGAATTCTCACTAGGCTAGTTCAGTTGAAGTCCCTTGTATATTAACTTGAGCTAGCAGTACAGAGAAGACTAACCCAGTGGGGGAGAGACTGGAAAAGAAACAATGCAGAGTAGGAGCACGGTGATATCTATATATTAGTGGTAATATTGCACAGTTGAAAATGTGTCCTATTTTGTGGGGTGAGAAGGATATTGCCTTCTGCTTATGTCGTCATGGCCTGTGTGTATTACTTAAACTTCGCTGCTTTTAATAATTTAATACTTTGCTGTGCCAAAACTTTTTTTTAATTTATGGAGAGGGAAGAAGAGACAGAATTTTTTTCAGCTGTAGCATCAGCTTGCCAAGAGACCCTAAGCAATTTGCTTTCATCTGCAGCCACAATTAATTGCAAAGCTTCCGACACGGTTGCATCCTAAGGGTACAATTATTGCAAATTTCATTATTTTGCAGTTTGCACCTGCATAGCTCTTCCTGGTCACCCGTGCCCTTCATTATCTGTGCATGCTTTTCTAATATTTTATTAACTAATGTGTTTGAAACAATCCTAATTTCTTGTCTCTTGGTTGTCAGAGTAAAAGGTCTCCCTTCTAAATAGACTTTCAATGAATCACCAAGTAGCCCTTTGTTATAGCTTTCAGGTTGGTTTGTTGATATGTTCTATAGTCAACAGCTGGGAAAATATAAAGGCACCCTTTTAAAGCCTTTTATGAGATTTGGATCCAGTTAAAGCATATTAAACTCTTATTAAACACAAAATACAACCTTAGGACACGGGCACAAGAGCAAGTTACTATAAAATAACTAAGGATGGAGACTGGCAATATTTCATCTACCCCATCACAACTGCCCATGTACACTTTTGCTCCATGGTATGGTGGAGGGCAAATCTGCTATGCATTAGCTTCCAATTATCCTGAGGGAAGAGGTGCACACAGGTGCTTACAGTGGAGCATCTGATGAGAAGTAAATCATTTACCTCATGGTAAGTGGTTTGTATGTGCTGTGCTCAGTAGAGTACTTTGAAATTTTACTTTGACCAGTCAGGTAATTATCATATAACTTGCATCAAACCAAAGGGAGTATGATACAGCAATATTTCCCTGTTCACAAGGGATGCTCTACCTTCCTAAATTGGATATCAGGAAATCTAATTTAAATACCTTAGTTCTGATTCTCTGCACCTCACCCTGCATTATTGCAAGGTAAGGCTACCCACCACCACAACACTGCCATTCATTAGTTATGGCAATAAAAAATATGTCAACTTGCATCTACATTAGGAAAGAAGGGTTTGGCTCAGTCTAAATTTGGTAATGTGTCCCTTAGCCCAGACATAGGATTAATGTCCTCTTTTAATACTTTTGGGCTTATAGACAAGCCCAAAAGTATGGCTAATGTGCACCCCCTTTCTTATGGAGGACTTAGCTATGGGTGCTACAAATATTTTATTTTCTGTGAGCACTAATAATCTTGAGTTCAAGTTGTTCTGAGACTTTGACATTCAAATGCTATTGAAATCAAATGAGAAATTTAGTCTATTGTTATTTGTGGAAGTAAAATAGGCTTGTCTGCATAAGAATAAAGAAATCAGTTATATGTTGAAAATCATTTGTATGAATGAATATCTGTGCTAGATATTGTCATTATTTGTTTATAAAACTGGCAATCCTTACAGGAACTTGGCAAAAAGTACCACTTTAAGAGAAAGGTGTTGTTTCACATGGGATTTTTTTTGTATTTTCATTGAATTTATGAGTTCAGTACAGTATTTTATCATAAAACGTGCACATACAAGCTTATTTATTTACTCTGCTAGTTGTGGAGATATAAAGAAGAACCTTCTTGTTATTAAAAAAAATAGATATAACATTAGGTCTTACTTTAAGGAAATGTTGGTCCTGGTAGGATGTGACTTATGAGGAACTCACATGGTTGGACTAGAGACTTCATAGTATTCTGGGAAAAAAATCTCATTGCCATGGAGTCAAATCCCATTTGTCCCTAAATACAAGGTTTGTATCCGTCCTGACACGTTATACATGCTATGTGCTCTGTAAGGGAGAGTGGCTGGGGAAGAGTGGTTGTGTTTGGTGTCTGAACCCCTTCATGCTGTGCTGGGGCACAGGATGTACCTGCAGGGCAGGTCCTGAATGTGCACATGCAGTTATGTGCTCTCTAACTTGGATCCTTACGTCCTGGACTACAACAGAATTGCATTGGCTCTGCTTCCATTAAACCCGCAAAAAATTTTACTCATGGAGTTTACTTGAATTAAGTGAAATGCTAAAACCATACTTTTTTCTGTTTCCAAAAGGGTTTATTAAAAGCAAAGAAATGAGCTCCCTCTGCTAGGAGCCCATATAGAATTGAAAATTTAGTTTTACCTGTTGCAGTCTTAAAATTTTTGTTGCACATATTCATGGATGGAAGCTGCAGTTAAACAAATTCAAACTAGAAATAAGGGACAATTTTAAGATTGAGGATATTTTAAAATAATGTATGAAATGTTCTGGTGAATTTCCATTCTTAGCAATTTTAAAATTGAGATTGGATGTTTTCCTGAAATATGTGCTCGTGTTCAAACAGGAATTAATATAGAGATGTCCTATGGCCTTATTATTTGTTAATAATGAATAACTAATACAGTCTTTGTTGTTCTTTTGATATGATATGTATTAATAATACAGAATTCCTTATAAGAAAAGAAATAGAAATTAAGCGCTTAGCTATAAAGCCAAGCTGGAAACAGTGCCAGGTGTATAACTACTACCTACAGGAGAAAAAACGTAATAATTTAGTTGACTTCATTGAACAAATAGCTGTAGGGCTGTCATCATGATAGAGAGTCCAAGCATTGGCTAATGTTCTTAACAGTTTGGTGAGCCCCTATAGGTGGTTGGGTGGATAGAGAAAATAAAGGAGGTAAAGAAATACTAAATTATTTTTCTTTTGTTTTAATTAAGGATAATATTTTTATCCTTTCTTTCTTTTAGAATTTCACCCGTTATAATGTTGACAGTGGTGCTGATAATAAATCTCTGTCTGCAGTATTAGACAACTTGGCAAAATTCAGCTACTATACTCTTTGGTTAACTGCAAGCACTGCCTTTGGAAATGGAAACAAAACCAGTGACGTAATAGAGGTGTATACAGATCAAGATAGTAAGTAAACAGCTGATTTTAAATTCTAAAATGTACTTCAAAGCTTTTCATTTGCCCAACCTTTAAACTAGAAGTTTAAACTATAAATGCCCTTTTTTGAAGAAAAAAAATGTTACCACAGTGTAATGTTTTCCTTTGCCTAAAGGACATTATGATTTGAGTCTTTTTTCCTTTGTAGTGCAGAGGAATCAATATGAAAAACAGTTTTTCTTCTCTGTGTACAAGCAGTGAGGAAAGCTTCCTAAAATCATGACAAAGGCTGTCACTTTTAGTAATCAAAATAAAATGCAAATGCTTTCTAGGTGTGTTATATTTTGGTAACCAAAAGTAGGTGATCAAAAAAAGGTTGTTATATTCATATGTGCATGAAGAGATTGTAATAAGATATTAAGTATAGTATGGTAGAGATTACATTTATGAGAGCTACCATTTGTTTATTTTTATTATAATAACAGATATCTTTATTTTGTGTTTATAACATACCATAGTTCCAGATGGTCCGGTTGAAAGTTTGACCTACCAAAATATTTCTTCAACTGCTATAAATGTAAGCTGGCTTCCACCATCTCAGCCAAATGGCATTGTGCTCTTCTACGTTTCTCTGAGTTTGTGGAATATTCAGAATCACAGTGAGATACTGTCTCTCATTACCTATAATACGAGCATGGTTTTTGATAAGCTGGAAAAATATACTGATTATCTTCTGCAAATCACTCCAGCGACAGAAAAGGGACTCTCTGAAATTCACACTGCAGATCTGCACATCAAAACTGATGAAGATGGTAGGTTCAGGATTTTCTAACTGCTAAATTAATTGATTTCTTGTAAAATTGATTTGAGTCTAGGGAATAGTACTGTATCTAGCATTAAGAATTTCAAGTTAACCAATTTCTAAAAATTGCATTTCACCATAATCCTTTTTGTAGACTAACAACTTGTTTTCTCATTCTCTGTTACAGTCCCAGAATCTGCGCCTATAATCACAACTTTTAAAAATCTTTCATCTACCTCAGTTCTGTTGTCATGGGATCCTCCACTCCATCCAAGTGGTATCATAATAAGTTATGATTTAAACTTACTTGAACCAGGGAAGATTAATTATTTTTTTACCTCCAATAATTCCATCATTTTGGAAGATCTTTTGCCATTTACATTGTACAGTTTTTTTGCTGCTGCAAGAACTATAAAAGGACTTGGTCCATATGCTACACTTCTCCTTTACACAGATGAATCAGGTGAGTGATAGATAAGTGAATGCACTCTACAGTCTGGACTTAAATTTATAATTGATGTGAAGGTTAAGGAAGGGTTTTTGACTGCTGTATAAAGCTTTACAATGGTTGGACCAATGTTACTTAGTCCATCTTATGCTTAGGTATTAGAACTGTAGAACATACGGTGAGATTGTTTCCCATAGACTTACACACAGCAATCTCACACTGATTTCTTTTCACACTGATCTCAGACTATGACTATGTACAAAAGTTACACTTAACACACTTTAAGCACGAAGACAGCGCTTTTCAGCTGTAACAGAACAAACGTTCATGGCACATAAAGCGCTTTAAAAATGGCATATCCTGCTCTAAGTTGACCCTGGGTGGATGTAGTAATAGGATCATGTTGTACACGTGAGAGGTCTAGTCAGATGCCTGATGAATCCATTTGTGGCTGACAAGCCCTATTCGAGAGTGACACAGTTTGTTACAAGTTCCACAGATCTATATGTTGTCTAAGTTGGAATCCAAATTGAAAGCATGCTGCTTTCTTCTTTCTCTCTTTGCTTCCATCCTTTGGATTAAAGCTGCTTCATGTTGAGCTGCACCCAGTGCCAGGTGTTCCTTCTAGATCAGACAGGATACCGTGCACTCCTCCCAACTTTCTATATTGAAGTTGAACAACTTCATATCATTTTTGCGCACATTGTGGCACTACTTTTGAAGGCAACTCCACTTTCCAGAGCCTTTTTAAATCTCTTGGGGATACAGTCTTTTCCCATTCTCCTGACATGATCCATTGCAACTTTTTTCTTTTTTATAGTGGTTTCTAAGTGCCTCAGTCCTGCACGTTCCAATACCTCTGTGTTAGGTATTCTGTCTTCCCACTTTATTTCCAGGATCTTACACAGACATCTCATGTGGAAGCTGTTCAGTTTCTTGATATGCCTAGCATATGTAGTCCACGTTTCTGAACCATAAAGTAAGGATGACAGCACACAAGTCTCGTAGATTCGTACTTTCACCTTAGCTGATAATTTGCTGCTATTCTTTCCATGTTTCTGTAATAGCCCAACAAGTTGAAATTTCTGCTGATAGTAGATCCCAAGTAGCAAAAACTGTCAATGACACCAAGAGATTTATCTTCCAGAGTGGTGTCAGGTATTGGTTCTGTCTCGGACAGCCGGAGCGACTCGAGATGATTCAAATATCACTCAGTCGTTTGGGCGGGCTGGTGAATGGAGAGGCAGACACAGCTTATTGGTTGCAAAAACTTTACTTACGCCGCTTGTAGCCGCGATGCAGGTGGTCCGGTCGCTTGAGGTCCGGTCTCTTCAACAACTATGTGAGTTGCGCCAGCTGGCAAGGCTCAGGCCAGCTAATCCGTCCACAAATTAAGCCGGCAGGAAAAGGGTACATCGAGGATTGCGCTCGGCGACGGGGAGAAGAATCGATAGGTGATCAGTCTATCGATCAGCTCAGCCACAAGTCAGATCTCTTTAGAGGCACTCTGCAGCGTGCTCACAGTTCTCTGACTTGGGCGGAAGTCGCACAAAATTTTAAACAGCTAGCAAGCCAATTACTAGCTGCCACGTAGGAATAATTTAGAACTGGCCAATA